ATTTGGATTGTTGCAGTGTGTTATATATGGGGCTTGCTTTTGAATATTGATCAGAAACTGAAGTTACCGTAGTATAAAATAAAGCAACTAGATTGCTAACTAGGACCACATATTGTAGTGTATCTCACCAGCATTAAATGAGCCTTGCTGATAGCTGCACTGTTTCCAAATCTAGTTCAGGGTGTTGGTGTTGAATTTCAAACCATTAGGGCTTAACAAGCAAGTACATTAGGCCCACAACTTACATGGGGGTATTGCGTCTAAAGCCAAAATCACTTATAGTCAAAACTCATTGGGTTCAATGGCGGGTGGGATTGCCAAAATCATTTTTCATGGAGCCCTTCACCTTTTTCACCATACAGTGGTATCTCAGGTTACAGACGCTTCAGGTTACAGACTCCGCTAACCCAGAAATAGTACCTCGGGTTAAGAACTTTGCTTCAAGATGAGAACAGAAATTGTGCTCCGGCAGCATGGCGGCAATGGGAGGTCCCATTAGCTAAAGTGGTGCTTCAGGTTAAGAACAGTTTCAGGTTAAGAATGGACCTCTGGAACGAATTAAGTTCTTAACCTGAGGTACCACTGTATTTATATATTTCCTAGGTGCCTCCACTATGAAGTTGAATGCCACAATTTCAGTTGTTGGCTGGTTTTAATTTAATTTAAATTATTTTTAATCATTTAAGTATTTATAACCTGCTCTTCATTGAATATTTTCAGTTCCAGAGCAGGGGACAATAACAACAACAATATAGAAATATATGGATAAAATAATATAGAAAAAATACAGAATCCATAAAAACAAGTTCAGTAAATAACAAAATAGCAGCTCCATCATAAAGCAAACAAAGCTAAAGTCCAATAAGGACAAAAATTAAAATTTTCTATGTAAACAAAGAATACAGGCAAGTCAGCAGACTGAAACAACCAAATGATTTTAGCAACAGTTTCCACCCCATCTCTCATCAGCACCGTGCTTTTCTATTGTTTTATATGTTATGGTTTATTGGTATTCTTTTCTATATAATAATAAATCTCCCTGAAATCAATAGTTGTAGGTATTGGTTTTCTCAGCTTATATTTATAGCACTTAAAAACTAGGTGCTGCATAAAATATATAAACAGGCCCTGTTGAATTGACAATTTAAGTTAGACACAGCACCAGAAACAAAATACTAAAGTTGAACAGTTGATGAGATAATTGATCTAAGGTGGTGGATACTCCTTCATTGGAGGTTTTTAAACAGAGCTTGGATGGCCATCTGTCAGGGATTATTTAGTTGCAAGTCCTTCACTGAAGAGGGTGGAACTAGATGCCCCTATGGGTCCCTTCAAACTCTGTTGTTGTTAAATTTATTTATACCCTGTCTTTTCCCCTGATGGACTCAAGGCGACTTACAATTCTATGATCCTATTAGCTTGCACATTTACAGGCTATTCAGGAAAGCCCTGACTTCTTTGTTTCCTTGGTGTTCAGAGTGCTGTGGCAGACAGGTTCCTTTGAAATGGCAGGCTGCAACCACCAACGGAAGTTGAAAAGTCGATATACCATTCATAGTTGCTCCTTTAGCCATAGGGCTCTTCCTGCTTAGTCATTTTTGTTGACTTGTACCGATTTGATTCACTTGGATTTGTATAGAGGGCTCTCTCCCTGTAAACCAGTGATGGAGTGCTGCTTGCTCATAACAGCTTTGCACTAAAGCCATATCCCAGCCACGGTTTCCTTTTTGGCTTATAACCCTGGACTTGGTTGTGGAAGTAATTGTAAATCCCAGCTTGTGCTAAAAACTGGATTGCTGATCCATGGCACAGTCAAAACTGTTTACTTGGTTTTTTAAATTCTTGGCGCTGCCATCTTGGTGTACCAAATGAAAGTACTGTTGGAGTAGAATGAGTCAGATTTCCATTTCAGGCCATAACCTCGTCACAAGAGGACAGCACAGAAGGCAAGGTCTTGAGATTTACTTTACAGTGGCATTTCAGTACAACAGACTTTGTGCTTGGTTCAAAACACTGCATTAAAGATAGAGTAACTTCAAAAGTCCGCAACTTCACTGTAGAAAAACCAAAGGAGCCAAGGGATTAAAGCTGTTGCTAAATACAAGAGTGCTGTCTCCCTCTGTGGGTCATTCTTAACATCAGTTGAAAAACAAAAAAATAGAGCATAACTAGGGAAATGCTTTATGCAAACTAACTTGTTTCTTCTGTTTGCTAACCTTAGTGGAGATGCACATAGTTCTTCCTCTGTGGTTTGGACCATGTCCATTGCATCAGTTTTTGTTGTTGTCTTAGTCGTGTTCGACTCTGTGACCCCATGATAGTTACTAATTTTTTTCAACCTGAAACACGGTTAAGTCCAGTTAAGTCCACGGCCTACTCTGCTTTTGCCCTTTACCACAACTGTGTCAAATTATGTCATCCTGCAAACCTTGAATCAAGTTTCCTGTACAATCTGTTTAAAAGATTTGCGAGAAAACAATCCAGCTGTTCCTACTATGGGTAGATTTTGTGTTCTCTACTAGGGGGGCAACACTTTAAAAGTGTATTGAAATGAGACAAGTGAATTTTATCAGTGTATGAAAACGTAAGGCTTGGAAGAGGGTTGCAACATACTTCAACTCTTGCTGTGCCTTCTGCAAATCATCAGGGACAGACAGAATGTTGATCAGGATGTAAGACAAATTGGGAAGTCCCCAGTTTGGATTACTGTATATCAAGCCACATTTTTCCAGCTTCCCATGCTGCAGTACTACTGACTTACCTTATAGGGTGGCTCTTAAGGATTCCAATGTGATACACAGGATGTACTTTAAAGGCTCACAAGTGATATATTCTAGGTATATTAATGACATCCACAGTCATATTTATTTGACCTTTTAGATAATGTAATGTGTGCATTTTTGTTTGTTTCTAATATCTGGGGCTTGTGACCGTCTAGAGCAGCCAATGTGGTGACTACCGGATATTGTTGAACTAAAATTTTGATTATCCCTTCCCATTGGCTATGATGGGAGTTGTAGTCCCATCAACATCTGGAAGATGGCTGCTTCTGCCCTGTAGTCTTTATTTATTTTATTTTATTTATTTTATTTTATTTTATTTTTTATTTTATTTTTATTTTATTTATTTTATTTTATTTTATTTTATTTTATTTTATTTTTGCTTCTGTCCAAGCATATTTAGATCCTTAGCATGCCCATACTTTCAGTTAAACTTTCTTCCAAGTATTTGGAATGTAAGATTGGGAAGTTAGATTGCAACAGAGTCGAGGTTTGAATTTATCAGAAGACTATGCTTACACTAACAAAACTTAAGAACATTTCTGTAAATGTTTGAAGATACTGCAGGTACCAGTTATGGGAAATAATTATTGCTGACTTCAATTCATTGGTGATTTCTTGGTAACAACCACAAATCCACAGCTATGCCTCAGACTACCTGAATGACGTTTGGGAACCCCTGATCTAGGGTATGCACTTCAGTTGAACAGGCTTCGTAAAATTGCTTGCACTTCAAAGAAGCTGTGTAAAATAAAGTAAATTCTATACCAGAGCTTTCCAAGCTGTGTGTCACATTAGTGTGTCAGCTGCAGTGTATAGGTGTGCTGCGCGAACGCTCCCCATGCTCCTCCTGGGGCTGGAAAGGGGTTAGTTTAACCTCTGGTTTGCTAGTAAAGCTGAATTACTGTGTTGTGAAGTGATGCAAATAAAAAGTGTGACTAAAAAGTGTGTCACCAACATGAAAAGTTTGGAAAACTTTGTTCTATACCCATTACTTGTGGGTGAATGGTAACTGTTTGTCTAGGCCTCACAAAGAGTTTAATAGCTTCTTATTTAAGAAATACATGTCCACCTTTTGACTTTCAAAAGTCCTCAAGGAGGTTGACAGAGAAATGAATTAAAATCCCATAAAAACAGCATTAAAAATCATAAAACGAAGTGGCAAGCTGTTAATAAAAGCAGCAAACTACCATAATAAAACAACAAGTACATGATAAAATGAAGGGATGCTAAATGCAAGGGAATAGGATCCACTTTGACCCTCTTGTTACCTTGGCAGGTACTTGGTTAAATATTGAGGAATTAATTTGACAGTTTAGGCACTACCACAAAAAAGGCTTGCTCTCACTAGCTGGGGACATATGGAGAAGGGCCTTTGAAGCTGACCTTGGTTGCCTGGCGGGTTCACGTGGTAACTAGTGCTCTTATGCAGGTCACAAGCAATTTAGGCTGCTCTCAGTCAGCACCTGGAAAGCAACTGGGATCTGGATTTATTCTTCACACAAATGATTTAATGGATAGCCTATAACCTTGATTTATTTGTATCTTAATAAAGCAATAATTTTTTTTCAGTGTGTAAACACATTTTTAGACCAACTTACAGCCTAAGTAAATAATGACAAACTGAAGTTGATGGTCAGGTTTGGTATGAGTATTCTGCATTATAAAATACATCATTTCTTTGCCGAAGGGAAGGAACTAGAGATGTGAAGGCCCAGAATAAGCAGAAGGGGTAATTTTTCCCTTGCCCCTAGCCTTTATGTATCATGGGGCAACTAGCTTGTTCAGGTGATCATAGCAGGCTTATTGGCTAAATAACAAGGTAAAATACTTTAAACTATGTTTTATTGGAATTTATAGTTGGTTGTAGCATACGTAATTAGATAGCCATTATTTCAGGGAAGAAGAATCTAGCCACAAGTCAGTTTGGAGGCTCACAGGGGAGTAGGACCATATGGCTAGGAATGAGCAACTTGGTTTCTCTGAAATGGCTTTATGTGTTGGGCATTTGGTATATCATTGAATATGAGCTTTGTGTTTACGAGATAATGAGCAAACTAGGGACCCTGAGAATGTGGCATAGAACAAATGAGTTCTAACTTAAAGAGCACTTGGATAAGCTCTGAAAGTTATTTGTTTGCTTGTTACAAATGAAGCACAAGACATATGTAAATGTTACCTCTTCTAAAACAGTATATATATTTTTTCTTTTTTGAACAGAGCTCAACAAAAACCCAGTGGAAGGATTTTCAGCAGGTTTAATAGATGACAATGATCTATATCGATGGGAAGTTCTTATTATTGGTCCACCCGATACACTGTAGTAAGTATCCCTAGCTGTTTAACTAAAATACCTGCTTGCTTAAGCATCTAATATTTTGATAACTAGCTTCTTCTGCCCTCTCAAGACTGATTTGATATGGAGCGGGGAATTAAATAGTGGTATAAAATGTATGTATTTGAAGTCTGAATTATCCTGGGTTACAGTAATTCTATCCTAAATATAATGGGGATAACTTGTAATATTGTGTTTGTAAGAAGTAAAACTAGCTACTTGTTTCAGTCTCCATGTAGATAATATTCTGTCTCCCTGCAGGGTACAAGGACAGACTTTCACTATGAATAACTGACTGAAAGCAAAACTATAGCAAGACCTAGATACAAGCTTCCCCTTAAGACTTTGGAGGGAGTGAAGGATAAAAGTTTTGAACAGGGCAAGCTTTTCTCTTTTTTTGGTTCATGAAGTTTGAGACCTAAATAAATTATCTTCTTTTATCACTTGAACTAAAGTGTACACATATAAAACATACATTTTCCCAAAACGAAACACTTGAGTATCCAGCTAGCACCAATAAGCAAAGCTCAGGACCAGAGAAAAGGTCTTGACAACAACAATAGCATGGCAGCTGGCTAACATAATATTATTCTAATTTTGGGTCTTGTATAGAAGACAATTGCCATTGCCATATTCCTCAGGTGGAGGTACCTAAGGCGTAATAAGGCAGATTGAGGTGGCAATCTTTAAACACACTTATTACGAAATAGGCTGTGTTGAGCACAGTGGGATTTACTTCTGAGTAAACATGCCTAGGATTGCACTGTCAGTTTGCAAGTAAGAATGACATGCACCATGATGTATGAGGTTTGGGGACTTCCATTGCAGGATGATGATCTCTGCTCATTATTTGAGAGTATCTACTTGTGCTACACTGGAGTCAAGAGTTGTTTGACAGGGCAAGTGGGTTGTGCTCCTCCTGCTGTTTGGAGGCAGGAAACACTGAAGCTTGCATCATTTACACTCAACTCTATGTGTAAATTGCTGGGAGACATCCCTAGGACCTTAAGGCATATGATGCAGCAACTTTTCTAAAGCTAAGCAGGTATTGGGTCTGGCCAGTGCTTGATGGGAGACTGCTTGGTGGGCATCACACTGTCTACCCTTGCCATTCACTTGAGTTCATGGAAGGAAAGTGGAACATCATAAATACACATTTTTCCATGCAGAGTAGGTGGTGGTGCAACCAGCAAAATACACCCCTTCCTGAGGAACTTGGGGACCATATTGTATGCTCTGATCTGAATAATTTGGTTTGCTTAGGGTGGTCTTTGTTCTGTCTTTGGCTTCAAAAACAGGGCCTTAAAGCTTTAAATGTAACTTCTCAAGGAAAAATTATGAGGAATTATGTGCTTATGACCATTTGTGAAATAGAAGGTGGCAGAAGAATCACTTTCTGCTTGTTGGCATATTAATTGGAATAAATGCTGGGTATACAAATGGCAAGGCCTGGAAAAATATCTGGTGTCTGGTAGCATGGGCACCTAGAAAGAAGTGTGATACTGTTGCCTAGGAAATTAAAATATTTCTCTAGCCGTGCTCCTGATGTAAAAGAGAGCCAGAAAAACAAGGCTACTTTCTTGAACAGGTGCTAGCTGCAAATGGCATTGATTATGTGAAACTGCATGTCTTACCACTATTCCTATTTAATATGTTCAAGTTCAGGCATTTGTCCTAGTGTTAACACCTGCCTCATACAAAACGCCATTTTAGGCACAGAGCCAACAAGCTGGCTTATTCATTAAATAGATATGATGGTGAAACACTTACTTTGGAACAAATGTTTGCCAGTCCTGTACCCACAGAAACCCGAAAGCTTCTTTTTATTTTCCTTTAGTGAAAGTTTCAATCTGCTTATGGTGTTAAGGTGTTCAGATGTCTTCTGTTCTAGTCTAGTGGGTGTTCAAATCCATACCTACAATATGGGTTCCAGTGTAACTAAATATACATGTCCCCTTCTCTTTCTGCTTTTCCTCTTCTACCTTAGGGATATCTATCAGAATTTATTGTGCTTTAGCTAAACTACAATTCCAAAGATTGGGACAGGTGGGAGGCAGGGGATAGAGTTGTACTGTAGACGTGCTCCTCCCTTCTTTCTACCCCATCCCAATCTTTTTATTATTGTTGTGCTTTGTTAATGCTAACATACCCCTAACAACAAAAGAGCAAAGTAAAGTAGAACAAATAGCTGAGGGTTATGAATAATCATTTTAAAAATTTGCCTTTTCAGTTGATAGGGCTCATATAAAGAAAATATTGTTACATTCAGGTAGATTTAAGAGTTCATTATAAACTTGCCATATAGCAGTGTTAGCATATAATTTCTGTAATCTATTATATGTAGCTAGTTCATGTACGGCAAGTAAAGATAGGTCTTACTTCTATTGGTGCATTGGTGAACTGTGTTTACTTTTCCTCTGTCAGTGTTTCTTTAAAGCTAACATGGCACAGTACCACCCAGACCATGATCTACTTGTGATTACCAACACATTAGTTGGACTAGTGGTTTGAGTACCACCTCGTCAGTACAGTGAAGGGGGAAAGCAGAAAAGGCAATACATAGCAATCTGTAAAACCCATACGATGTTCATATGAAAGACTTTACTCTTTGTACATGTAGATTGGAGTGTCACTTTCTTTAAGTTATACTGTTTGCATGTAACACTGAGCAAAATGAATTGTACGCAGATAAACTTAAGGCCTAAGCTTAAACATGTGTACTTGTAAACGAATCCCATTTAAAAATCAGTGAGACTTACTTCAATTGGCTTTGCCACACATGAAACTTAAGTCTGATTTTTAAACTAGCAAACCCTAGGCTAAATGCATTATGGTTCTCTAGTACTTCCTCTTGAAATTGTAGACTTGACCCATTGAGCCATTCACTAAAGAGAAGTAGAAAGAAGTTTAAGGAATTGATTAAATAAGTTTTTCCTCAAATAGTGGGTTGGGCCCCAACATTGGCCTTGAGCTACTTTCAGGTGGGCCACAGACTGCACAGTGCCTCCTTGCTTGCCTACCTTGCTCCATAGCCATGTCATAGCCTTTTGGTTCGACCAGTGCCGGCACCAGTGATTCCTTGGATGCTGAGTAAAAGTGGCTGGACTACAGAGAAGTGGGTGTAGGAAGGTATCCCTATTCTGAGGGGAAAGGGCCATGTGAGGTGCTCAAAGAAATTAGAAAGTGAGATAAAGGGGTATTTTTTGTTAATAATAAATAAATAAATAAAACTGGGAATAGAAAAGAAAGTTGTTGTAGAAGGAAGTAGTGAATGTGAAATGACCATGGAGGAGAGATGTAAGAAACCCAAAGTAGGGTTTTTTGGGGGGCAGGAGGTAGAATAAAGTACAGGTTGAATGTGATAGACTGGAAGAAGTAGTTACAGGACATGGGTAAAAAAATACTTTTGAGGTTCTGCTGAAGTTTTATTCTGGAGGATGCACGGTGTTTAGATTGCTAACAAAAAAAGAATTTTTATCTGGGCGGAATAATTATTTGTTCTATGTTACTTGTCGTATTGCATTCATCAACTTTTGCAATAACCTTTACTGTCTCAAAAATGGCAAATATCTGTACCGCTGAAGACATTTTTATTATTCTGTACCTAGATATTATTCTTGAAAATAAATAAAATTATACAAAAATTACTTTTGAGTGGCAAGTGCATAGAGGTTGGGGAAAAGATGAAAGAGAGTCTTCACATAATACTGTGGTTCAGCAGATTCTCCCTAAAATGAGGAGAGTGAGTCACAATACCTCCAGAGCAAATGCCCATTCTTGGCTTGAGGAAAGGGTGAGCTTTAGGACTCCTTGCCCCAAGGAAAACACTGTGGCAAAGAAATGAGAAATTTCCAGAGTTTGATTAGATATTGGTAATTGCCAACTGATAGTGCCAAATTCTGCCTTCATCTGCAACCATTTTATGACAGGCTCTGATGCACCACCACCATTTTCTGACTGGCGAGCCTCAGAATTTTTCAGTTGTCTCAAGTGGATTTTGGGTGTAGAAAGTTTGAGAACCCCTGGAATAAATAATAACCCTGAGATATATTCTGGGAAATTGATGCTGAAGCCCCAGAATAGGCATTACTTGGGGAAATACACGTCTCGCTCTGCCATTTAATAAGTAACCATTCCTAGTAATGCTCCAAAGTGTTGTACTAGGATCTGATGACTGCTTAAATTCAAAGCAATGGTGAACTTAAATCACTTGAAACTTCTAAATGCAGTGACTGAAAATTCTCCCTTTCTTTTCTTTTTTTCAGTGAAGGCGGCGTCTTCAAAGCTCACCTTACTTTCCCAAAGGACTATCCACTCAGGCCGCCAAAAATGAAGTTTATCACAGAAATATGGCATCCAAATGGTAAGACGCTGATGTCATGTGTAAAGTGTGGTGTTCTGTCTTGCATCTGGAATGAATATGAACGAAGTTGAGAGCCCCAATTTTGGATAATGGGAAATTATTAGGAAGGAATGTAAATATTTGGGTTCAGGAAAAAATACTTTGGCTGGTTTCTGTGTCTTTCCTTTAACTGTAGGTATGATATATTGGCCACGGGTGATATACAACATAAACTACCACTCAAGATTGTTGTGAAAATACATGCATACCACCTTTAGCTCCTTGGAGGAAATGTGGGATATAAATGCAGCAATAAAATTATTAAAATATTGGTTAGGTATCATCCATGTGACAGTTGGGTGATTAGGCTCTCAGTACACTGCTTGCATACAGTCTAATATAGAAAATTAGGTAGTATTTTAAATTTGAAATGTGGAAACTGGAATTTTAAGCCTCATCTGACTCTGGATAACTTAGTTTCCTTGGATTATTTTGTTATCATTTATTAAAATAATTCATATTTTATGCCTTTCATTTTGAAAAGAAATTCCAAAGTGATCCACAAACAAAACAACTAAATATCACAACAAAACAACTAAATAAAACCAAGTTAAAATGTCAGCCACAGAAGCCAGGAGCCAGTATTTATGGTCAGAGAAATGCCTTGAGTCCATTTTCAATTTTCAGTGGAAACTTTGAGATCATCCCACAAGATAGATGCCACAATGGAGAAAGCTGTTTTCAATGGAGAAAGCTGTTTTCCTCTCCACTGTAAGATGTACATCTGCACAGTGAAACAGTGAATAGGGTCTCCTTCACTTGGACCTGTTTTGGTATTAGCCTCTGTTCTCCATTTTTAAAATGGAAATAATTGTGTACTGGATTACACAGCAGTTGCTATAGTCAACTAACGGCATACTTCTACTGGTGTATTTTGAAAATAAAGATAATTAGCAGTGGTGAATTGCAATTTCCAGGGTAGCTGGTGGATCCATATATTGTGAATGTAAGCAGAGCCCTACTGGATTGGACCAAAGGTCCATCTGTTTCAACTTGCCTTCCCAAGAGCCAGACAGATGCTTCCACAAACAGGGCATGAACATCATTGATAACCATTGATAGGTTTATCCTCCCCTATCTAACATGCATCACCACATCTTTGGGCAGCAAATTCTATATATTAACTAGTTGCGAATCCTATTGTCAGTCGACTGAATCTTGCTCACTATATTAACACTTGTACTCCATGTACTCCATGTTTCTGACAAATATTCCTATTAATGTTATCCTTGGGTGGAATTGATGGCCATAGCAGAGGACAAAAAACTCTCCAGCAGCCTCACTACTTTGCTTTTCACTGTTATCTGAAGGCAGGATTTCTGCTACAATGTTATGGCTCTGAAATTCTATTTTTCTTCTTCTTGGTAGTTGATAAAAATGGTGATGTCTGTATTTCCATCCTTCATGAACCTGGTGAAGACAAATATGGCTATGAGAAACCTGAAGAACGCTGGCTTCCCATCCATACTGTGGAAACCATAATGATTAGTGTAATTTCTATGCTGGCAGATCCCAACGGTGACTCTCCTGCTAACGTTGATGCAGCGGTATGACTTGCAGCTTATAAATAAATCTCTTCCCAGCATTACTGTTGAAATACCATGGAATGGTTTCACGGCACGCAGCTTTATCCCCTTAAGATGACTTTTTAGTAATAAAAGGGACAGGAGTTGAACAAATGTAATGTGGTCATGGTATAATTTCAAGTGTAATAGGAGTCTCTCCCTATTTTGCTGTCCATATTCAGAGGTGACCAGCATCTCTGGATTTTTTTAAATAAGCAGCCATATTTGTAATCTTTTTTTCTTAACTGTGTGAACAAGCTTCCCCTCAATAACAGGCATGTATGTAATACAGTGGTACCTTGTGTTGCGTAACCTCCAGGTTACGGAATCTTTGGGTTACGGCCATGGCAAACCCAGAAGTGGGTTTGCCACTCGCGCAGAAACACTCTGCACGCTTTGCGCATGTGCAGAAGCACTCTGCAGCGCCATGCATGTGTGCAGTAGCGGTCCTCTGGTTGCGAAATTTTCAGGATAAGGCCAGGCCTCTGGAACGGATCCCATTCGTAACTGGAGGTACCACTGTATTACATGATAGTTGTCCAGTTGGTTATTTATATGTACCTGCCCTTTCCTGCTCATCTTGTGTGCTCAGGCTGAGAAGAGTTCCTACTTGATTGATATACAACTGCATATAGTGGAGTATCACTTCTGTTTAGGTTCTTTGTCTCAGAAAGAGCTGCATACCTTTAAACCTCTGAGTGAACTTATACAAGCATGGAATATGGTATCTAATTGTCCATGAGTTTGGAGTTTTTCCTGGTACTGCCAAATTGGACTTGAAAATGTAGCATGTGGCCTTGTGAATTCTTGAAATAGAAGGAAGTGTTTCAGGAACTGTGGTTTCAATATTCTGCTTTGATCCTGGTATGTCTTGATAAGTGGAAAGAGCAGGATGATTGATTACGCAGATCTGATTAACTTACTCAAGATGCAGGATTTGGCACAGAATGTTGATTCTTCTAGCTTAGAATACATATAACCCTGATTCAGGCTTCAGAATGGATGGCTTGTATACTGTCAATCAAAGATCAATGGAAAAGTTCTCCTTTTAAAAAACAAAACTGAATCCCAGATAGCACTTGCTATGACACTACCCATCAAGCTACCAATTAAAACTCTTGTTTTAATGACAGAAGTTTCGTATTTAAATTACAAATGTTGGTTACTTTTATTGCCAAGTATTTTATAGCACTCTTCATGGGTTTTAGAGGAGCTGAAAAAATAATAAAGTTACTTGTGATGGCTTGAAGAATCATTTTAAATTTGGATTTTAATTTACAGAAAGAATGGAGGGAAGATAGAAATGGAGAATTCAAAAGGAAAGTTGCCCGCTGTGTAAGAAAAAGCCAAGAGACTGCTTTTGAGTGACACTTAATTCAGCAGCTAGTAGCTTCACTTTTTTTCAGGGTAAGTAGGGTTTTAAAAAAATTATTATGGAAAATTCCATTTTGCATTGGAAAATCCAGAAAGTGTTTGTTACATGTTGAATGCTCAAGGCAGTGAGGTAAGTATTCACGTTCTACAAGTGTGTATTTCCTCTCTCTCTCTCTTCTGCATTTATTCAGCAGATAAGATTTTGTTTTCCTTTATTGCTAGGAGATAGTTCTTTAATGTTCAGGTCAGATTATTTTATTATATTTATATATTGTAGTATTTTCGTATTTTACACACACACACCACAGTTCTCCCACTCCAGTCACAAAAGGCTCCTAAAACTGAAATTAGAGCACCATTTCTTCTTTAAACAAAATTTATATACTGACTGATGGAGGGAGAACCCTCTAAGTAGTTTACAACAATTAAAAACAGGTATGAAAAATAATCAAAAGGTGATAAAAACCAGTTGTGGCTGAAAATAAAACACATGTAACTTCTACACGTCAGGATAGCCTTGGCTAAACAAACATGTTTTAAACATTGCATACAGCACTGGAGTTTTGGTACACGTGATAGAACACTGTCCATAGCCCCAGTCCCTGAAAAATCCAAGCAAGAGCCCAAGTGGTATAGTTCGCTGTGCGAACCCAGTCTAAATCCCTGCTCAGCAGCAGAAGCTACTGGGGTAACCTGCTTCCTGTGCTGTGGAAATAAGGGACAGTGTGGGAGAGGGCCATGTATTGTCATATTTCCCTTCCTTGAAGGGAAGAGTGGAATTAAGAAAAATTGCAGCTCCACAAGCTCTGGCTGAGTGTGCAAGGAGCAGAACCAGACAACGCTATGGCTTAGGTATTGGGTCCAAAACCTGGGGCCTGAACCTGTTTCAGAAGTCGTTTAAAAGACACATAAATGTCAAAGACTAGCCCACGTACTTGGAGATACTTACAAAACCCGAGAATATTGCAGCCTTCTAGCTTTTTGTTTCCTCAAAGACAAAGTACAGTGGTACCCCGCAAGACGAACGCCTCGCAAGACGGAAAACCCGCTAGACGAAAGGTTTTTCCGTTTTGGAGACGCTTCGCAAAACGAATTTCCCTATGGGCTTCCTTCGCAAGACGAAAGCCCATAGGGAAATCTCCGGGACAGGGCGTCTTGCCCACTGTCCTCGGACCTCCTCCCGCCGCCAGGCTTCGGAAGGCTGCTCCGAAGCCTGGCGGGGGGCGGAGAGGTTTTTTAAAAACCCCGGGACAGCGGAGGACTTCTCCGCTGTCCGGGGCGATTTTAAAATGCTGGCGGGCGGCAGCGCTGCCGCCCAGCAGCATTTAAAAAAAACCGGGACAGCGGGGGACTTCTCCTTTGTCCCGAGGTTTTTTAAAATGCTGGCGGGCGGCAGCAAAGGCTTCGCTGCCGCCCGCCAGCATTTTAAAATCGCCCCGGACAGCGGAGAAGTCCCCCGCTGTCCCGAGGTTTTTTAAAATGCTGGCGTCTTCCCCTTTCTCCCCGGACCTCTTTTGAAGCAAGGGGCGGCAACGCGGAGAAGCGATCTTCTCCCCGTTGCCGCCCCTTGCTTCAAAAGAGGGGACAGAGGGAAAGGCGGCGCGCCTTCCTCTCTCTCCCCCGGACCCCTTTTGAAGCAAGGGGCGGCAAAGGGGAGAAGCGATCTTCTCCCCGTTGCCGCCCCTTGCTTCAAAAGAGGGGACAGAGGGAAAGGCGCGCGCCTTCCTCTCTCTCCCCCCGGACCCCTTTTGAAGCAAGGGGCGGCAAAGGGGAGAAGCGATCTTCTCCCCGTTGCGCCCCTTGCTTCAAAAGAGGGGAAGGCTGGCGGGGGGCGAAAATCTTTGTCCCCCTGGCTGCCTTCCGGGAGGGCTTTTAAATCGCCCTGGACAGCGGAGAAGTCCTCCGCTGTCCGGGGCGATTTTAAAAATGCTGCCGTGGGGGGGGGGAGCAAAGACTTCGCCCCCCCCAGCCTTCTGAAGGCTGGCGGGGGGCAGAAAATCTTTGTCCCCCCTGGCTGCCTTCCCGGGAGGGCTTTTAAATCGCCCTGGACAGCGGAGAAGTCCTCCGCTGTCCGGGGCGATTTTAAAATGCTGCCGTGGGGGGGGGGGAGCAAAGACTTTCGCCCCCCCCAGCCTTCTGAAGGCTGGCGGGGGGCGAAAATCTTTGTCCCCCCTGGCTGCCTTCCCGGGAGGGCTTTTAAATCGCCCCGGACAGCGGAGAAGTCCTCCGCTGTCCGGGGCGATTTTAAAATGCTGCCGTGGGGGGGGGGAGCAAAGACTTTCGCCCCCCCCCCCCAGCCTTCAGAAGAGGTCGGGGGACAGATTGTCCCCGGACCTGGTCTGAAGTCGGTTTCCATAGGAACGCATTAATTGATTTTCAATGCATTCCTATGGGAAACCGTGCATCGCAAGACGAAAAACTCGCAAGAAGAAAAAACTTGCGGAACGAATTAATTTCGTCTTGCAAGGCACCACTGTACTGGTGTCAGGGGCTCGGTGAACAGGTGGGGAACACTAAGCAGGACTGGACACTACTGATATCTCCATGCAACACCTGGTTATAAGTAAAGTTATAACTCTTATCCCATCCCTGCCCCCAGCAAAAAAAGTAGTAGTCGTGTCTGGAAAATGTCAGCTTTTCAGCAGAAGCCTATTTGCCTAATATAACTCCAGTAGTACACTCCAAAGCTAAGCCATCCTGCATGAATGGAACATGTTTTGCTTAATAATTTGTGCCAGAGTTGGTAAAACATTAGTCTCTGTTGCTTGTATGTGTCTCTGTAGCACTTGTGGTTACTGCTGATGGTAATCCTGCAACTGATGATTTCCAAAGAATCTTGGTGTTGCCAGCTGAAAACTAAACATGCAGCTTTTGATGTATGTATATGAGAACTAGCTGTTTTTGGTAACTAGGCTTCTGCTTGTCTATGTTGGCAGATATGCCCCTCACCCCAGTGGTTGAACTTTGCACTTGGCTTTATTAAATGCTGAGTTAGTTCCCTTTCAAGATTCCCTCAAACACTCCGTTGGGTATGGGGTGGTCATGTGGGTACAGCCTTAACGGGACACTCGTATCTCTAATTTTGGGTTTCGGGGTTGCTTCTCAGTTATGCAATCTGTGAGAAACTTATTGGGCAGTAAGCCTTCCAAATGCAGGGATATCTTAGCTGAGTTGTGTGGCCTGTACAAAAAAGCAATCCCACCCATTGCACATTGTAGAGGACTACTGCATGTGCCATATAAATGCTTGTGACTTTTGCCTGCAATGAATGTTTTACTGCAGGCAGATTTCCTCTCTGCAGCTGGCATGTTATTGCCACTGACGGTTTGAGTTGCCAAACTACCATTTTGGCACCGTATATTGTACTGCTACTCCCACTTACTATTGATGTTTTTGGGATGCTTAATTTTGGTAGCTGCTGAGGGGAAAAGAAACCCTACTAGTATTGTAGCTGAGTTGGTTTGACAACTAAGGTTATAGTGTTCTTGGTCTCAGCAAGTGAGCCCTGAAGCCCTGATACTTCAGCTCCCATTGCTCTTGCTGTAAATAAGTAGGATGCCTTTAATTGGGCAACAACCTGCTCAAAGTATACAAATTTGTAAGTTTCACAGAATTATTTAATGAGAATAATGGGAAGTAGGACCTACAGGACACTGATGTAAAGAACAGACTCTCCTACACACTCAGTTGGTAGATGGAGCTATCTTTTTGAGTGAGCTGTTCCTGTCAGAAGTGGCTAAAAACATGTGTGGCTGAATACAACTTTGCTGAAAACACAGGTTTTTCAGTGATGTGTGTAGGTCTTTTGTAACTTGAACATTCTGATGTATTTCACTAGGGCAATGCTGCCAACTTGATGTCCCCCTCAACATGTTTGTTTTTTAAATGGGGCTTGCAGAAGATCAAACCATAGTTTTTAGTTTAGGAAATGGCAGTTAAAGTTCATTTGAATCTCTGTAAAATACTTAAGTACAGAAGATGCTCAGTGTGTTAGTATTCTAGTTGTGTGCTCCCTGTAGGACTGGCCTCCGGAAAGCAACACTAGAGCAAACCTAACTGGGGCTCTGAACAGCAGTTCAGATGCTGGTACTGAGAATTCTCATATCAGCCTATCTTGGAAGCACTCGCTACAGAGAACTTTCTTTTTCGGTCTGCTGCAGCCTGTCATTTGATGATGCCATGAAGACTAGATCTAGTTTGGCTGATGGTTCTTTGTTCTTGCCTTTGTAGGTCTCCAATTGAGGAACATGGCACTGTTTTTCCTGCACTCTATCCACCTAATGCTGGACTTCTGTTTATACCAAGTTGGCAGACACTGGCTGGAACTGGGCTGCAATAAAACATGCCAGTTATTAATGCTGACAAAGAGCCTAACAAGTGCCAACAAGGATTTGCGCATTTTGAAAACTAATGGAACTGCTTTAACCTTCAGGAAGAATTGTAAAGATGTGTACATAGCACAACATGATCCGGATAATATATACTGTTCATGTACATCCACAAATACACATTGTACCAAATAATGCTGTCTTGTAGTTAGAATAAGAATCGTGTAAATTCTAAAGATTTTTAGCAGGTTTTCCATTTTTCTCTTCTCCCCCCCCCCCTGGTTTTCCCTATGAGTCTTTAAAATTTCTCGTGAAGCATGTCAGTCTAAAACAAATTAGGATTTAAAAATTCTGTTTTAACTTTTTCTTTTCAGCCATTGAAGATTCATTAAAATCTCTCACTTTAATAAAGTTTAATACCTTTGTAATGCTGTCCCTTCCCCCTTACCTTTTTTCAGATTACATAAATACAACACAGATCTATTACTTGATTCTAATGATGACTTGAGCACTGTCATCAGGAGGTGCAGTTCCTTCCCTTGCATTATGACCCAGCTGTGCTCATCTCTTGGCTTGGATGTAGCAATAAGATTTTACAGCTGTGGAGCACCCTTGAGCCTGTTATCTTTCCCAAAAGGGTTGAGAGCATTTGTTTTGGAAGTGGTCAGCTAAGTATGTTAGCCCAATATAGGATGAACTGCTTTCTTTTGATTTCTTGCCTGGTTTGAAGTTGGATAAATAAAAGCATGCAGAGCTGTAGGCTTTCAAGTGAGTTCTGGTTTTGCTATCAAATGCTATTTCCCTTTCCCTCTTCTTCCTCTTTCCCCCCCTCTCTATATTTCTTTGCCTTTTGATCTCCTGCAGGTTTTCCTCACTTAATGTATAAAGACAAATTGCGATGTATATTTTCATGTAACTTGATTTTGGAATTCTGTCACCTTCTGTAGTGAGTTCTTCCAAAATATAAATTTTTCCAATAGCTTGGTGTCAAGTTGGCTGTTATGCAGTATAAAAAATGAGAGCACATTTTCAGAGAGCATTAAGCATGATGATGCTGGTAGCCGATGGACAACAACTGCTTGAGACTTCATCAAAAGGTGACTCGTATTCTTGGAAACAGACTTCTAAGGAGTTCAGTGAACCTCCATGGAAAGTGACTGTAACCTGATAATGCAGAAGATAGAAAAAAATGCATTTAATTTTGCTTTGGTTGAAATACTGAGTGGTTGTTTCTTTGGAAATTAACTGTTCACATAAGCCAAAGTTGGACAAGTATAATATTCAACTGTAGACTCAGTGTGTTTCCAGACTGGGGATTAATTTGCAAACAGGTCATAGACAACCATGTTTATTTTATTTACCAGGTTTTTCCTGGGGAGAGTAAATGGGGGAAGGAAATGTGGGCTGGTATTTTGATGCTAACTTTGTGTGGACACTATATAAAAAAAGCATGCCTGAGGAGCACTGATTCTGCAGTCGACACCCATCCAGCAGCACCCTTTGATATGGAGGAAGAATAAATAAAATGACCATACTGATAGGGGAGTGGCACCATTGCAGAGGCCCTTCTTAATGGCAAAACTCCTTGCAACAATGGCTTTATGTTCTGGGCCAGTGTAATCTCTCCTCATTTGAGGCATTTAATCTTGCAATGTTATATTCACTGTAGGATTTACTTGTAGGCTTCTTTGGTCTTTTCGTTCTGCAGCAATTTGTTTCTGCTGTTTACAGCAGTGCTTCAAAGGAGTGGCTGGAGGCAAATTGCTTGCTTTAATTCTGAATCCACAAAGGAATAGTAGCAGCCTCCCTATGGTATAACGTGGGGGCAGGTGGCACTTAGGCTGAGTTACATGACTCGAACGAAAAAGTACACACAGGTCCCTAGTAGTGCTGCATCATGCATTTGTCCCTGCAGTTCTTGACAAAACGTACTAACTGCCCTCATTTTACAGTGACAGTACAGCCTCTAATGCCATGTAAATATCCTTCTGGTAGAAGGAAACATTTGCTAACATAGCAGAGGGACTGAGTTGAATGGGTCTTCTGTGGCTTTTTTGTTGAACGCAGTTAATTGCATTGGGTTTGAAAGGATGGATCTATGTGCTTGTAAAGCAACCTTTAAGCAGAAGCACTTTTATAAGCAGTGGGCCAGACCTGCCTGCTTTCAGGGCTACCATTTCAAACAAAAGGAATTATGGGGAAGGGGGAGAAACATATGGTAGGTTTCAGAGAGGAAAATAGTGTACCAGTTACGAATGCCAGGGGAATCACCATTGGTACCTGCCAATTAGAAGAAACAACAATTAAATCCTGAAATAGAGGTAGGGAGTTCTTGCCTCTGGATTTTCTTTAAAAGCAGCAATGTTTTGTCCCATTTGTCTGGGTACATGCAGCAGCATAAAGTTACTCTAAGCTGCCATGAATTAGAAATGGTACTTAATTAAGTGCTCTCTCTTTTTAGCCAGACAGATGTATTTGCTGCTTCTGAGCTGTTTAGTACCCAGACACAATAGCTGGATTTAGACAATTGCTCAAACAAGAACCAAAATTGTTTGGCTCCTGCTGAGGTGGGGGGAGGAGAGTCCTTGCCAGCCAGCTGGCTAGCATTTGTGCTCTTCTGCTTGCGTAAGACTTTGCGGGGGGGGCGCGGTTGTCTTACATTTTGGCCATCTATTCCATAATTAAAATATGAAGGGAAATATCCCAGTGTTTCTAGGGCAGCTATTGTGATCCAAAAGGCGGCCAGCTGGATGTGGAATAATAAGGTCTCCCAACTTGCGTCTACACAAAGCATTCACTTATTTGTCCCTTGAACACAAACTGCACTGCCGTGATGGCAGTTTGAGAGGGAGGAGAATTTCTCTTGTCACCTTGGGTGAAGCAGGGCTGAGCAGAGAACCCAGCTGGATTGTGGGAAAGCTTTGACTTTTCCATTGGAAGTGGGCAGGGGAGGGGGGCTAGGAGAGAGCAGGAATCTAACTCTTTTGTCAGTTCTAAAGGATTCAGAATGGTTTGGGAGGGGCTTGCTGGGGGATATTTCCCACTTCAGACAAATTAAACCACATCTTTTTGAAGAAGCTGTCAAAACTTTTAAGGCTAAAATCTAATTGATCATTGTGTTATATGAAGTTACAGCATTGTTTTGTGCTTGCTTTTATAACAAGTTGTGTCCTGGCTGCTGCTGGCATTAGACTTACTCTTCGGTTCTGAACATGTCTGCTTAAATCTGCTTTGTGGTTGATTGAAAGTGCTTACACTGTTACACCATTTAAAGGACTACTGTGGAAGAGTTCCTGTTATTGGTTGGTTGGTGACCAGGAGGAAAACTGCTAACGCAGCAGTTTGACACCACACACACACTGTTTGAGACAGATGGATGCCAGCAAGGTGACAACTGCATGCTTTTTTCTTTTGTTGGAAATAAGCTTGGTTTCTTTTTTCCAACCTCACCCCTAGAACAGTTATTCAGAAATGGGAATGTCTCTCCTATTCTTCCTTCGGGGCCTGATACAGATGGCTGTTAAGAGTGCGGTTCTTGGGATATTAACCAGCTTGTTTAAAAGGGTTATCTTGCCTTGTGGAGGTTTACAGGTCACTGAACAAACTGCAGGAAAGTCTCTGTTAAGAAGGGTATATTGGTGGGCATAGGAGACAAGATGTCAGCTGGATCCAAGGTTCAGTAAAAACGTCTCTTCCAGTCCTGACTTTTTTAATTCATTTGTATCTTGTCTTTCAGGAAGACATTTCCATTGCTTATCTTACTAAAAGTGTGAATAGTAAAAAGAAGCTTGGAGGGTTTTAGCTCAGTGGGAGAGCATCTGCTTTGCATGCAGAAAATGCTAGGTTCAATTCCTGGTATCGCCAGGTAAGGCTAGGAAAAACTCCCGTCTGAAACACAGGAAAGCCAATCAGTTTGAACAATACTAAGCAAATGGACCATTAAATCGGCTCGGTATAAGGCGGCTTCCTGAGTTCTTAGGAATGACATAGACCATTTCAATTTATAATTTTAAAAGCAGTACCTAAGTATGCATGCAGACCACAGGGATTATGATTTTGAGTATTGCACTACAAGAAAATGTGTTCAGCGTATCTAAAGACCTGTCAAATTTCCTCAGGGAGTGTCACCACTGAAAAGCCCTATCCCTTGAATCTGTAAATTTAATTTTGGTGTCAGATATCTGGTCCTCCACAGGCAATCATGGGGCTTTGGTAGATGGTTGTTGTTGTTGTTGTTATCATACTTTATTAAATTTGTATACTGCCCTATACCCACAGGTCTCAGGCCAGTTCACACCAGTGTAAAAGTGGTGGAGAACGTGTGGTTGTCCAGATATTGGACCTTGGTTCCCATCATTCATGACAATGGGCCAGGGTAGTTCAGGCAGGATGTAAATATTTTTTTGTACTCTGACTTTAGGGTAAACATGGCACATTTCATTCTCTGTTTTGCATTGGATGTAGCTGGGGTACACAGCAAACCTCTGGGAGAAACTTTTTCATCACTGGCTACTATGGAAGTATGTGCAGGAATTATTCTACTGTGCTAAAATACTAAAATGTGAATACATGCTCTGGCGGATTGAACAAACGAGACCAATAGTGGGTCCAATGGTAAAGAAGGCTGTTTCTGCATGCAATCAAATCATGCTGTTTCTGCATGTGCTGTAGAAGGAAGTGAGGGGCAGATGAGGCTTCTCAACCTGGGAAGGTAACCCATCTAGGAAGGAAAACTGATCCTAAACCCACTATCTTGCACATAGAATTGCAGTTGGAAGGGACCCTGAGGATCATCTAGTCCAACCCCTCTGCAGTGCAGGAATTTGCAGCTGTCCCATACGGGATCGAACCTGCAACCTTGGCATTATCAGCACTAGGTAAAGGTAAAGGGACCCCTGACCATTAGGTCCAGTCGTGACCGACTCTGGGGTTGCGGCGCTCATCTCGCTTTACTGGCTGAGGGAGCCGGCGTAGAGCTTCCGGGTCATGTGGCCAGGATGACTACGCCGCTTCTGGTGAACCAGAGCAGCGCACGGAAATGCCATTTACCTTCCCGCTGGAGCGGTACCTATTTATCTACTTGCACTTTGACGTGCTTTCGAACTGCTAGGTTGGCAAGAGCAGGGACCGAGCAACGGGAGCTCACCCCATCGTGGGGATTCGAAATGCCAACCTTCTGATCGGCAAGTCCTCAGAAGAAAAGGCTAAGGAGTAAACCCTGCAGAAATCCGGAGTGGACTTCCTAAGACGGTTGCATGGTGCTTTGTATGCCTCCTTCCGGCAACTCCTGCCAAGCTGGTGCCAAAACATATTGCTCTGCTTTCCTTTGGACCACATCAGTGAGGCTGAGGGTTTGTCATCTGGGCATCCCAGGACCTCTGTTCGCACTGCCCTAGCTTGCGTCCCAGGGAGGTTACTTCGGTGCTGCTAACAAAGCGGTTTGACCTCCAAAGGCACACTCCATCTGTCTGTCTGTTGAGGCAGACAGACGCCAACAGCAACTACTAATGGAATTCAATGGGATACTACAAAGAATGCTATTATTCCTTCTTCCCAATCTGGAAAATATTAGGATTGGATAGCATATTAAAGATCTAGAAAGCTCTTGGCACAATCAAACAAATTTTAGGTAGCCCTGGTGGCCACTAGGAAAACTGAAAATGCAGTGGTAGCATCATACTTCAGTTCACTGAAACTCTGAACTTGGGTTTGCTCCTTTTCAATCTTACTTTGGTCCTAATGTAAAGTTCTACTGTAGTGTTGCTTTTGGATTTTGGCAGATGCCACAGAGGCCCAAGTCTGTAATAAGAGACATAATTAGCAGTGTAGTCTATATGCCTAGACAGGAGTAAGCTCCATTGAGTTCGGTGGGACTTATTCTCAGGTACATAAAAGGATTACAGTGTTTATTAGAAACCCATTTTCTTCCAGATTTTGTACTACTACAAAGGAGTGGAGATAAATGTTCTAACACTTAATGTTCTAATTTTTATTTTTCTCCATCACTATTCCTGTTATTGGCACACAACATACAAGTTTACACAAAAGATTTTCTGGCCCTCCCCCAAGTTGTACAGGACAGGGAGAAGCAGAATTTAATTTTTACACACACACACACACCATGTGAAGACTTGGTCTATATGCAAATTTTATTCTATTTCTAAAACCAATACAAAGTTACTTAAAGAACAGAGGCCAATAGCACACAACATTAACTCCACCAAGGATTCAGGGCTCCCTGTATGTCAGGTCTGTGGTGGCTTGAAGACGACTCCTTGCAGGGCTTCTCTTTTCTCACATCACTCCCAGGATCATCTGCTTTCTATCGCTTGGGGCCTTCCTTTAGGAGTATCTACCTTCTTGTGCTTCTCACTGTGGATTATTCTCTTTTCTTTCCTGTCCCTGTCTGTGGGTGTCTGGAGACCTAACTCTCGCATGCTCCTACTTAGACTCCCGTTCATGTTGTGCCCAGCTTGCATGTTTGTTCCCAGATGTGCTACTCCAGGTCTGCTGACTCGCATTGGCATGCCGTTCATACCTTGGGTCTTCCTTCTCCACTTTGATCCTGGTTTTAGGACGAGAGTCTGCAAGCTGTTCCTCTTTCACCCATTTTTTGTGTTCTCTTTTCTCTTTCTTCTTCTTGTGTTTCTCTTTTTTGTGTTTCTTTGCCACCACCTCACTGTCTTTGGGGGACTCTGGTGAACTTGGAGGTGTTTTAGCACCACATCCTTTTTCTCGGAGAGCTTTTGTCACATCATCAATATCCTCGGAGTCTTTCGGTGGGCGGTAGTTAGCCACATGGTCCACACGAATTGTCCTTCCTTTAATCTTTATTCCATTAAAATTATCAACCGCAAGAATGGTGCTTCTCTGATCTTCATAGCAAATGAAACAGAAGCCTTTGGATTTCCCTGTCTTCTTATCACGCACCAGATTTATGTTCACAATTTCCCCATACTGTGAAAACACACAAATAATGTCGCCTTCCGTCAGCTCATAGGGAAGACCACCCACAAATACCCAGGCACTGTCACTGTACTCTGCATGCCAGGAGACCTTATCTTGTACACCAAGCTGTGCCTCACGCTCATTCAGCTCATTGATCAGCTTCACTTTGGTTAGTGGATTCATGCTGGTTCTCTTCGTCTACTGTGTGCAAAAAAAATAAAAAAAATAAAAATAAATCTTTTAAAAACACTCATAAAAATTTACTGACCTTTCAAAAGCCCTGTTAGGTAGCAAATGCATTTACACTTCTGTTATGGCAGAGGAGCGGCCATGTGTTCTAATTTACAGAAGGCAGTCTTCTTCTTACTATTATTTATTGCACACCCCTCAACCTAAGGTCCCAGGGTAGATTGCAACACAATACTGTATTAATATTAAAGCACAATATTTAGGACACGGATGGCGCTGTGGGTTAAACCACAGAGCCTAGGACTTGCCGATCAGAAGGTCAGCGGTTCGAATCCCCGTACCCCGTTGCTCGGTCCCTGCTCCTGCCAACCTAGCAGTTCGAAAGCATGTCAAAGTGCAAGTAGATAAATAGGTACCGCTCCGGCGGGAAGGTAAACGGCATTTCCGTGTGCTGCTCTGGTTCTCCAGAAGCGGCTTAGCCCTGCTGGCCACATGACCCGGAAGCTGTACACTGGCTCCCTCGGCCAATAAAGCGAGATGAGCGCCTCAACCCCAGAGTCAGTCACGACTGGACCTAATGGTCAGGGGTCCCTTTACCTTTTTACAATATTTAAAACGGATTGATGTGACGGACTACAGCCTGGAAGGCCACAGTTCAAATCCCAGCTCAGCTAGGAAGCTCACACTGGGTGGCTTTGGTCCCTGTCTCTCGGCCTACCTCACAGGGTTGGTGTGTTGAGGTTAAAAATGAGGGCGCGGGAGAACCACGTACGCCACCCTTGACTTAAATACATACAAAATATGCTCCGAGAGGCACTTTTGCCATGGCCTCGCTTTTAAAAGCAAGACAAAATTTCCTCTCCGGGTAGAGGCGGTGGTACTCTGCACGTGCTCAGAGGCACATCGCCCTCGGGGCGGGGAAGGAGGACCTCGGAAAAGAACGCGCGGTGTAGAACTGTTCCTTCGAAACCCGAATTCGGTCCTCCTGCAGCTTCTTCCCAGCGGCCATAACTTCAGCCCAGACAGGAAGGCTGTGCCGCTACTGCGCGTGCGCGCCCCGCCTCCTTTTCTCTCCTCCCCCCCCTCCCCGACCACCCCGCTCTATCTCGCCCCTCCTCCTCCCGCTCTCACTTCAGATCTCGCGAGAGCTCCGAGGCAGCGGCCCAGGGCCAACATGGCGGAAGGTATGCGCGATGCGGGCGGCGGCGGCAATGCCAGCTGCACCTTGAGGAGCGGGAGGGTTTTTTTCCCCCCACCTCAGGCGGTTTTTCTGTGGGGCGGAGCGCTTAGCTAACAGTGGTTTTGGTGCTGCTGGGTTGGTGCGGGGTGGGGGGAGATTGAAACCGGCTTGGAGGGCGGGGGGGGTTGTTTGGGCGTGCCTCGTTTATTTGTGTTAGTATTTTATTTAACTCTATTCCCTCCCGAGGAGATCGAGGCAGGATAGGTGGACCTTCTCCCCACCCCCGTCTTATATTCTCGCTAGAGCCCTGGGGGTAGGCGAGGCCATAGTGGTGCAGCGGTTAGAGAGAATGTGGACCAGGACTTGGGAGAGACCTGGGTTCAAATCCTCCTCCCCCCCAACGCCTCCAACTCGGCCAAGTGACCTTGGGGGCAGGTCACAGCCCCTCAGCCTGACCTACCTCGCAGGGTTTGTTTTATTGGCGCCATAAAATTTATAGACCATTTGATTTTAAAAGGCACGCAAACAAAAAAAAAGCACGCAAACACACACACACACACACATCAAAGCAGTTTACAAAGGATGAAAAACTAAAATATAGAAAAATTCACAACCCTGCCTTCAAACATACAAAAGTTAAGATAACTGAAGCAAATTAAAATTATCTCAGCTTTCTGGGTAGACTTTTGGCAGGTGCTAAAAAAAAGAGTATGGTGAAGGCGCCTGTTTGTTCTCAATAGGCAGGGAGTTCCAAAGTGCACTAAAGGATCGAGCTCTTACAAATACGGAACGGGTATTATGTGGCATCTGTAAGTGCTGCCGATTCCGCTGATCAAAGCTGTTGAGTGGGTGCACATCTGATAAAGTAAACTTGTGCCGAGTTGTTGAGGGCTTCATATGCCAATAGTAACACCTTGAACTTGGCTCAGTAGCAAATTGGCAACTAGTGCAGGGCTCTGAGCACAGGTGTTATGGGTTGACGATGCCTTGCTCCTGTCAGCAATCATGCTGCAGCATTCTGCATGAACTGCAACTTCCGGATCAGGAGCACATTGCAGTAATCCAGTCTTGAAGTAATCGATGCATGAACTACAGTGGCAAGGCAAGGGTTGTGAGGAGGTCACCTGGGAGTGAATGTTACTTGACCCTGGGTGGGGTGTTGTATGTATTCAGTGGGGCGTGAGAGACTTTTCCAACAACTCTTTCTGCTTGGTGAGTTATGTAGAAGCTTATGTGTGGAAGTAGAAGAAGCCTATCTTCCTAGATAGGAGGTGTTTCTTTGAAATGGGGGAGTCATAGTGGCACCACTCCACCCCTGTATGCATGCATGCACCCACCCCCACTTAGGAACATAAAGAGTCTGCCCTATACCATGTCACCCCATTGGTCTTTCTACACTGACTGGTGGCAGTGGTGTGTCCATTTGTCTGTCCTATCTCCTGGTAAGGTAAAGGTAAAGGTACCCCTGCCCGTACGGGCCAGTCTTGACAGACTCTAGGGTTGTGCGCCCATCTCACTCAAGAGGCCGGGGGCCAGTGCTGTCCGGAGACACTTCTGAGTCACGTGGCCAGCGTGACAAAGCTGCATCTGGCGAGCCAGCGCAGCACACGCAACGCCGTTTACCTTCCCGCTGGTAAGCGGTCCCTATTTATCTACTTGCACCCGGCGGTGCTTTCGAACTGCTAGGTTGGCAGGCGCTGGGACCGAGCAGCGGGAGCGCACCCCGCTGCGGGGATTCAAACCGCCGACCTTTCGATCGGCAAGCCCTAGGTGCTGAGGCTTTTACCCACAGCGCCACCCGCGTCCCATATCTCCTGGTACCTAATGCTTTTAATTGAACCTAGGACCTTCTACATGAAAAAGTGTGGTTGGCTCCACTGAGTTACATGTGGGCAAATCCACACCATAGATTTAAACTGCATTCAGCAGACACTTAAAGCACACAACCTCCGCCCTCCAAATAATCATGGGAACTGTAGTTTACCCTCACAGATCTACCCTTCCTTATCAAACTATACTTCCCTAGATTCTTTGGGGAAATATATGTGCTTTAAATGTGCTCTGGGTGTGTTTTTAATGTATGGTGCAGATCTGCCAGTCTCTCCCACTAATTGTGTATTGCCTACCAGTAGCAGCTCTCTAAAACCCAGTGGGAAATGCCATGGATTGAACCTGGCGCCTTCTGCATGCAAATTCTGTGCTTATGTCCCTTCCCATATCTCAGCTGCTTAGAACTCAGCTTGTTGCCTCTGTTGTTAGTATCCCTTAACCAAGCTTCAATTAAGGCATACATTGTTTCCTGCACACCCACAACAGCACAGCGGCTTTAAGACACTTTAGTAACTCTTCTGAACTTTTTGTAAAGGATTACAAAAATCACCTCCATATTATTCTCTGTGTATTCATGTTGCTTTTCTGTAACGTGTCTCTGCCCCAAGGGAGAGTGCAGTCATTGTTATTATTTATACAGTACCCTCAGTGTGTATGGCTGCCCAAGTACTGAAGTGGTACTAGATCCCACCCAAAGCTGGGATCTACTTACTTAGTAATAGTAGTCATGGCCCATAGGGTCCTTGGTGTGCATGCTATTTTACAGAGGCAAAACAAGGCAGGGGAAGGTTCCTGCTGGAAGAGATTTGTTCTGTTATGCATAACACAGCCCGTGTCCATGGTGCTTTATAGAATTACAGCAAGACAACTGGTCTCTGCCTGAAACAGCTTACAATAGAGGTGGTGTGGAGGATGGAGGCAGAGGGGGAGGCAGGCTGAAGCCAAGGTTAACAGTGGGGAGGAATGTGCATTAGGTTTACTTGTATCTATGTGGACTTCATTTCACTAGGAGATAAGGACTAAGGAATTTTGTGAAAGCATCCATAAAAAGTTAGCCTTTGGTGAGGGATGTGAACAAAAGCAATTAAAAGCAAAGGGAAGTTTATTCAGTTGTTTCTTTTGCGGAAGACGGGAAGATGAGGGATCCTAGAATGGTAGAGTTGCACGGGACCACAAGGGTCCTCTAGTCCAAACCTGCCCCCCCCCCATGCAAGAATATTTTTGCTGAATTTGTGGCTCAAACCCACAACCCATCTCAAGGATGTTTCCTTGAGCATTGGGCTTATGTGTGTGGTAGGGAGGACCCTTGAATATACTTGTTACTGGAAAAATTACCAGAAATGTATGTGAGGGTTTGTATTTCTTTTCCTTGAAGGAGCTTGGGGTGGCATACATACTGTATTTTTCCCTCTATAACACGCAGATTTTTTCTCCTAAAAAGGAAGGGGAAATGTCTGTGCGTGTTATAGAGCGAATGTGTGGTCCCTGGAGCCAAAAAATCAAGCAAAAGTCAAAACGCGAGTCACGGAGAAGGGAAACCTGAAAAGAGGAAGTGGCTGCTTTCCTGCATTCTGCCTCAGGGTCTTACTGCCCACCCTTCTCTGTTTCGTTGCTGTGATTGCTGAAACAGAACAAAGAGCAGGGAAAGCCCCTCCCCTCCAGGCAAGCAGAGTGTCGTTCTTTCTAATTCCTCTCTGTGCTCCGGTGCTGCTGGGGGAGAGGGAGAGAGAGTGGGGGAGGGAGAGGGAGAGTGGGGGAGGGAGAGGGAGAGTGGGGGGAGGGAGAGAGAGGAGGGAGGGAGGAGAGAGAGAGAGATGGCTGGCTTGGGGGGGGGAACTTTTGCCTTTCTTTCCTCCCACCCGTTAAATCCCTCTCCAGCATTCTTAGCCAGCTGCTTCTCTGCACACCCCTCTCATGTCCCTTCTTTGTTTTTCCTTCGCTCCCCACTTAAAATGTGGTTACAAAGCATAGATCAACATGGATCCTCAGGATCTTTGCATTGGGTCACCCCAAATTCACCATCAGTTCACATAGCATGTCCATGGCTACAGCCTGCACCAAAAAAATCACGCACCCACTGTTGCCTGGGGCTGCAATGGTGCAAAAACGTGGTTAAAAAGCATGGATCCACAGGGATCCTCAGGATCTTTGCATTGGGTCACCCCAAATTCACCATCAGATCACATAGCATGTCCATGGCTACAGCCTGCACCAAAAAAATCACGCACCCACTGTTGCCTGGGGCTGCAATGGTGCTAAAACGTGGTTAAAAAGCATGGATCCACATGGATCCTCAGGATCTTTGCATTGGGTCACCCCAAATTCACCATCAGATCACATAGCATGTCCATGGCTACAGCCTGCACCAAAAAAAGCACGCACCCACTGTTGCCTGGGGCTGCAATGGTACAAAAATGTGGTTACAAAGCATGGATCCACATGGATCCTCAGGATCTTTGCATTGGGTCACCCCAAATTCACCATCAGATCACATAGCATGTCCATGGCTACAGCCTGCGCCAAAAAAATCACGCACCCACTGTTGCCTGGGGCTGCAATGGTGCAAAAATGTGGTTACAACGCATGGATCCATAGGGATTCTCAGGATCTTTGCATTGGGTCACCCCAAATTCACCATCAGATCACATAGCATGTCCATGGCTACAGCCTGCACCCAAAAAATCACGCACCCACTGTTGCCTGGGGCTGCAATGGTGCAAAAACGTGGTTACAAAGCATGGATCCACAGGGATTCTCAGGATCTTTGCATTGGGTCACCCCAAATTCACCATCAGATCACATAGCATGTCCATGGCTACAGCCTGCACCCAAAAAATCACGCACCCACTGTTGCCTGGGGCTGCAATGGTGCAAAAACCTGGTTACAAAGCATGGATCCACAGGAATTCTCAGGATCTTTGCATTGGGTCACCCCAAATTCACCATCAGCTCACATGTCTGTGGCCACAGCATGAAGCACAAAAATGATACATCCACTGTTTCATTCAGAATGTTTTTTCCCTTGTTTTCCTCCTCTAAAAACGATGTGCGTGTTATGGTCAGGTGCGTGTTATAGAGCGAAAAATACGGTACTTATCCCTTCTCACCTCTTATTTTCCTCCCTGCAAATCTCCGAAGCAGGTTAGGTTGAGAAACAGTGGCAGGTTCAAGTTC